TGATTATTTAGAGAAGGTACCACTTCAATTTGGATGTACAGTAAAGGAAGTATCATTCAGCTGGTTAAATAGTTCAGCTTTTGAGAGGAAAAAAACCATAATTAAGAATACAAGATATTCATCCAACAGTCACCCCCACAAGTTATTTTTATAGGCCATTTTCCATAATTACCAAAAGCATACTCATAACATCTGCCAGTCATTATTGAAGTGAAATAAAGGCTGTCATCATTATTTTATGCATTCTAATAAACTATATTTTAAAAAATTGAGTTTATCTCTTTACAAGGTATTTTTACCCATGTCTGTGTGTGTGTTAAAAAGATGAATTTTGTGTGCTGCTTTATTCTATACATTAATTAACAAAAATCAGTTCACTTTCTTCATCTTAAATTCTTATTTGTGTCTTGTTCTTTTGAAGCAAGGCCAGCAATGTGGTGTCATTATTTACCTTGCACTATACTGTAAGTGTGAACTTACGTTAAAATTGGAGATTAATTGTCCACAATATCTGTAAACCGTTTGTATTGGTATACTTAATTTTGCTACTTATGAAAACTTAGGCAACCTGATAAATATATTTCAATACAGATATGTAGAAAAACAACACTCTATGAACTGCCCAAATAGATTCTGTATATTCTGAATTAGGTTTTGGACTTTGGTGTCGATAATTGCCCAAGCAATAATCTTACAGCAGAGTGCTGTCTTTTTTATATGTAAGACTTATGACTTAAAGTGACTGTTATCTTACCTTTTCATGCAAAGGTAATTTCCTATGAAGATGATCCATATTGTAAGATGCCAGGAGTTACTGAGAGCAAGTTGGGTGGCCATATAAATTTTCATAAATAAAAGATGCATTGCTAGGAAACAATTACAGGTATCATTTGCTACGTGTTACTATGGTCCAAGCAGACCTTTTTTGCTGATCTCTTCCCAACAGGTATTATATACTATAAGAAGTAATAAACTTCATAATGTTTTGAACATTCTATTGTAGGAAGTCATTTGTATTCCCAGAGAGTTAGAATCTAAACTGAGCAAAGAAAGTTGAAGTATCTCTTTATAACACTAATCAAAACAAGCTTTTTGTAAGAAACGGAGGACAACTAAAAGCCTACCTTCTAGTTACCTACATTCTTTTCAAGGAGAAAAAGTATATATCTGGGAAGTTAACAGGAAGGAACTTTCATGAAATTTGCAGCCCCCTCCTCACAGAGAGGGTAGGAGATAAATTGGAAACACAAAAGAAATTCCTAACTAACTGCCATCAGATTATGTCATGTTTATTAATCCTTTGAAATCTTCTGAGAACTTAAGGGATAGTTTTATTCAAAATAATATGATAGTGAGCTATTACTGCCTATTTCAATATATTTGATCAGCTTCCCAGACAATCTAACCCACAGCCCCAGTATAATATTTCTTGAAGGTCTTACAATCAGACAAAAATCAGATCCAGCCCTGTTCAGTTTCCCAATGTTAAGATCTGCTAGGTGCTGCCACCTGCTGAGATTATGTCTCAGGAAATCTATAGAAATATATTATAAAAACATTAACAGTATGCTGAATGCTTTTTTCATGTAACCTGAAAATGTAAACAAATCACAAGCCACAATAAATCAGAATTTCCAAGGATTTCAGTTTATATGAGCAAATGCACATTACTTAATTCCTTCCACTCTGTTCCTTCTGTGCACTGAAGGGACAAAACAACAAGCAGGAATTGATGCTGGGGTAACTATCATTTTATTGTCCAAATCAGGATACCTGGCCTGTATCTCCCCAAATCAGACATGGTTTATTAGGAAGGGGATAAATAAAAGAGCCCAGTTAAGATTGTCTTTCATCAAACCATAGGATTCGGATATCAGTTAGAGGGACTGTGAGATTTTCTAGACCAGCCCCCTAACCAAAGCAAGAGGCATCTTTCCTTATGTCAATTTTCCATTCATCATGGAATGATAAAGATTAACCTGTTTCTAGTTTACATGACTTTTTCTTTCCTGTTCCTGTAGTTTCAGTCTTGTTTCTTTCACTATTCCTTTCACTCCTTTCCTTGTATCTATCCCACAATCAAAACAATTCATCACCCTTGTATCCTTCATTTCTTTCAGTTGTTCATCATAAAGTATTACATCAATCATTTAAAATTTGTATCAATTCCTTGTGGTGTATACATATGAGTATATATATTCTTAAAACACTTTTTAAATAAAAATTACTCACTTGACATTTTTCATTCATTTAGGAATTTCTTACAATTTTCCTCTGTTGTCTCATTCCCACTCATCAGTTCATTTCACCTAACAAATAGTTTTCTCCTGGATCATATTTGTTCAGAATGCTGCATAATTGCACATTCATATTTTGTTCTTCCATTATAAATATTTACTGGATAAGCAACTATAATCACAGTCTGAGATTATAGACTATAGATTTTATTGCATCCTAACAACCAAGATGATATCAGTTTATACTTTATGATATGCATTTCAGTCCTTCTATTCATAATTAAATTTACATCTCCGTTTCCTTGCACGAATTCATGAACATTCCATAAAATCAGATTACCACTCAAATCTATTACCTGATTCCCCTTAATTTCTTCCATTGTTTCCTCTTGTATTCCAGTCTCCCTCTTCCATATGTTCATCCCCAGAGAGGCCAATAGATGTTCACCTCTACATCCATTTTGGCTTTCATCAGTCAAGGTTTCTTTATTCCAAATAACATTTTAGTAAGATAGAGTTGATTTAGTTTAAGTTAATAATCTTTGTTAAACCCATGCTTCGTGTAGCACTCTTTTAATAAGGACAAGTCCTACCAATGGCTAGCTTTAATCTAAGCATGTGCATGTGATGTTATGTTATACAAGCTGGGGCCTCTAATCTAGAGATTATCATGCAAACCAGCATGCTGTTACTTTCATCACCAGCTATGACAGCGGTACCCATCTAGATGTTGCTGAACTACAATTCCTATCCAGCCCAGCCACCATAGGTATAAGAGGTTTTAGAATATGGGGAATTGTAATTAGTAATATAATAAGGTCATAGCTTTCCCATCTCTGGAGTATGGCATCTCAGTTACATTTGTGTTCTTTATTTCCTCTTTTACCACTTCAGGTGTTGAGGAAAGCTACATTTGTGTTAATACTAAATGATATCTTTGCTGTCCATTCACCATTTCTATGAGAATATGTATTTGTTGATTTTATAAAACATTATTATATATAAAAGCTTGTATTTCTTGAAACAATCTAACAGTTCCTAAATTTGGAGAACACGTTATAACAGAAAATCAAAAGCAGTTTCCTATCTATGTATGATTCATAGTGTGTAAATAATAACTAAACATATTCTTGCTGATGGCATCTACCAAGGGGTCCTTCACCTGCCACTGTATGTATTTCCTTAGTACAGACTCTGAGAATAAAAAATTAATATCAAGGTGCCAGTTTGTTTATTTATTCCCACTATAATATCTATTATTTAATTACATTATGTAAATTATAGGCCTTTATTATAATCATGGTTTATATCATTAGGATTCTTCATTGCACCTTTCCAGTTCAATATTGGCTTCTAAAATTCTCTACACTTTCCTTAGACAAAACAGAGTGTATATAAAAAACACATACACAGTGAAGTATAATTATTTTGATGAGTCAAATGTATGTATAGTAAGCCCTGTAATCATATGCTAATTAAATATGGATAGATCTTCCCTAGCAATTTCTTCAGAGAAGAAGACAAAGTCAAAAGGTCCCTCATCCCTGTTTTCCATCTCTTTCCCAAAGAATCATTTCCTTTAGAAAGGGAATTTCTTCATGTAGAAATTAGATCCCTTTTCTAATAATTGTTTACTAGAGCAATTACTAATGACTCAATTACAAAAGTAATTTTTCTATTATGCACTTATATAGCCTTTTCTTCCATGATATTAATATTACACACACATCTATCCAATAAAAGTTGATTTTGAGTCAAGCCATTTAGACTTCAGGAGTCTTAGGCTCATACAAAAATATATATGAGTTGAGCATGAAATTTAGGATTGGGGCTTTTGCTCTTGGGAATCTACACTTCCAAATGATTTATATTTTAATAATGGAAAAGATATCTATGAGAAAACGTTAAGCTAGTGGAAACGGCTTGTTCCATGTTATCTCCTTCCATGTAGTCTTAATAAGCAGTAAATCCATTTGTCTTTATTGATTATTTAGTGAAAACTTTCATGAGTTGAAGGGGGAGTGAAATCAGGGGGTTTCATTTTGCCCCTAGTGTTACAAGCAGCCTTTTCTTGCCTCCACAACCCTCATCCAGTTATTGAGATGGAATTTGGAGAAACCTGTATAGGTGTATACAGTTTTTTTTCTCCCATTTATCCAGATTCAAATGTCAGGAGACCACTATCAATGGCACAGTCTTATTTCTTCTTCATGGCATAAACTTCTCCTATACATGAAAGGGATGAGTATCATGATCCTTTTTGCCATTGAGTCTATAAGAATGGCATGTAATTTGTACACACCTAGTGTACAGTCCATTGTTTTCATGCCTTGAAACCATTGTACAGGAGTCCTGTAAGAACTGGGGCTTGTTTATTTCTATTAAAAAGGAGGTGCAATTGTGTGTCTTTTTTAAAGTCCCTCTAACTTTAGTGATAAGCTTAGACTTAATTTAAATAAAACCTCAAACAATATAAGCTTAGGAAATTAATATAAATGTTTATTCAGTACACTGTAGTTTCTGGCGTTGCTTCTATTACTGCTTGACAAATTCACTTAGTTTGTTTTCCATCTAAAATAAACTTTATTTTCTTTTCTATCTGATTTTTATTTTCAAAGCTTGGAAAAAGCCACACACAGAGTGTGTGCCTTTTTTTCCTTTTTGTATACTCTTGAACACAACTAAAGGAAAACATTTTTAAAAATCAATTTTAGTAATATGTTTTCTTATGTTTTGATTGTTTGTTTTTTTCTCAAAATTCAGCTCGGAAACCAGAAAGTGACTGCCAATGTGATGGAGGTAAATGCTTCCCAGACACACAGACAAATATCAGCTGAAGCTGCACCGTTGCCTCCCTCACCACCATTTCCTCCTCCTCCTCTTCCCATGGTTCCGGTTCACCAGCCCTCTCTCTCACCTGACAGTGGCACCCATGCAACATCATTTCCTTTACCACCATGTGATGATTTCTGGCCGTCACACATTTATAGAACCCCAGCCCTTTCACCGTTCTCCTATACGTACCCCTTCCTTGTAACTGACACTCTGCTCCACAAGACTGAAACTGACTCTATTGTGTCAGCCATGAGTGAGTTCTCCTCTCAGCCAGTGAGCGAGTTCTCCGCTGCCATGCTAGATGAGCTACAGAGCTGTAACTATACTACTGACTGTTCTGAAACACCTTCCCCAACCTTGAGCCAGACGTCTGCTGCGTCTGATGGCACCACCTTAACCTCCACTGCTGCCAGCTCTCATGTAATTATCCTTCCTTTTTTCTCTTCCATTCTGTTCAACCGTACTGTCAAAGTGGAAAAGAAGCTAGCTTTGGTTTGTCACCTCATTTAATTAATTGGTATGCTGATTATTGGTGATACCTTGTTCTGTAAATATTTTGAACTTTTTCCATGCAATAAGGAATACAGTGGGAGGAACATAATTTCAATATTCCAAAATGATGATTTTTACAATATTAGTGGAATAGAAAACAGTTGTTTCTTTATCTCGTGAATTAGAACTAGGAGGTTGCACTTTGTATCTTGATTGACAACTTGCAAAGGGAAGGCCAGTGAAGTAGACTGGATGTTACTGAAGTGTTCAACAGGATTTTTTTCTGTGTGTTGAGGTTGAAGGAGGTGTGAAAAGGCATCAAGGCACTATTTTGAGAAAACCATTCCTATTTGGGGGTAATACTAAAGGATGAAAGTTTAGGGCGCCCATTTGGCCTCTCAATCTTCCAAACATCTCAGCGCAAAAAAAGACAAAAACAACAGTTTTGTCCACTTTGTGTACTCTGGGGAATGCTAATGGGTCCTGATGTCAACTGTTGCAAATGCTATTCAAATGTCTTTTTCTACCTGGGAAATGCATAAAGTTACCTTCTGTCACTGGTGTGCTATCTCGTTCCAATTTGCAGTTTGCAAAGATTGAATTTTGATTGTAATAGAAATGTGATGGAAGCTTAAATTGCACATGCACACCTGTACAAACATGTTCAGTTTGTAATTTTTTCATCTTGTAATTCTGAGCTGATTAGCTTCCAAAATTAATCTGCTTGGAACCTGATTCAGAAAATTACTGCAATTATGGTTTTGAGCTGTGTGTGTTAGTTTTCTATTGATGGGAACTCTTCCCACATCCCATATCTTCTGGATTCCTCATCCCACTCCAAAAACCAAAGTATCTTGGTTTCTCATTTCCTCCCACACCCAACTCTCTTCCTCACCAACTGCAGGTACAAACTTGATCATCTTGGCTTGCCTCTTCCTTCAGGGCATTAATGTTTGCAAGATTGGCTTTGTCTAAAAAGGAGCAATAGGTGATGCAAAAAGGGGGAGGTGGGAATATCAATTGGGCCTCTTGTCAGGTGGGCTCTGCGTAGAATGAGCATGAAAAGTTTATCATTGCTGTATACATTTCAGTGTCATATTTTCACCTGAACACACCCTTGTTCCAATTGCTTCAACTATCCTGAATAAATCTACTGGTTATAATTCTTCAGTCCCTCATATTAAAGACGAATAGTGTTTAGAATATAAGCAAGTCTACAGCATGATGCTAGCTATATGAACAGAATCTTTAGGCAAGTTACAAACAAATGAGAAAAAAATGAAAAATCTGTATATGCCCTTACAACGGAATTTAAAATATTTGAAGAGCACAACTATTACCTGTAATCGCTGACTGCATAAAATTGATTCTAAATCAAATTTCTCCCCTAAACTAACACTGGCCTTTGTATGTGTGCTTGTGTGTGTGTGCATATGTGTGTGTTCAGAAAGAGAAAGAGACAGAGAAATAAAGTATAATTTTACAATTCAATTTCTGCAGTGCATGTGAGTTCTTTAATTATATATTTAAAAATGAAGGAAGATAATAGACTAAGCCCAAATTCTTACATAAAAGCAAACAAATCCTAAATGGGTGATAAACACATTTATGCTATCATCAAACTAAGAAAAAGATGAGACATATATCCAATAAATGAGTAAATAAAATTTGTTACCAGGTTAGAACAGCAACTTGAGCATAGGATCTATTCCTATAACTTGCAAGCGTTCTGTGTATTTTATAGATGACAGCTGTGTGTCTGGTATAAACTAGTGCCTAAACAGGAATCTGCAGGATAAAGTGAGAAAGTCAATATGCTGGTTCGATCAAAGCGGTTCCTGTTTATGTTGCAATGCAGCAAATAGATTTATAATAATAATATACAAAACAGAAAGATGTCATGGCCAGCATCCTGTTTTTGACAATGACAAATATTCTACTTAATAAAACACATTATTACAAATGACAGAAGTTTACATTTTAAATGACCCATCAAAAATTAAAACAGTATTAACCATGATATGGATCCTTGAAAATTTTTCAGTTAGCCCAGTATTTGTAGAAAAAACACCTATCATTTACCAGAATAGCTGAGAGTAGAGAGAATTGCTTCCAATGAAGTATATTTACATTGGAACATTTAAATACCTGTATACCTGCTGTAATTCATCTTTATCATGCACCATAGTACAAGTTCAGTTCCATCCACACAGATAGAGCAAAGTGACTCATCACTCAAAGTAATCTTCCTTCAGTTCTTCCTGATTTTTAAAAGGATTTTGAGACCCAAAGTTTGTTTGGATTTTTTTTTTAAAGTAACCAATTAATGTTGAAAAAGTTGCAGCAGTGTAATCATAATTAACGAAAGCATATCTAAAAGGATGGTCCTCTTTTAAAAGAAAATGGTAGAAATATTGACAGAATTCAGCAGGCAGTGTATAAATTCTTACAAAAAGGTACATATTGTTCACTGATATCAATGGTCACTAATTTTTGTCACTTGAAAGAAATTTGGTTATTTTCTTTGGATATTTTGGGTTGGAGGACTCCAAATGAATACTAGTAAGAGTCAGGTATAGGGAAAACAAAAATTAGATCTTTAGGGGAATGGAGGGAACAATTTTGATGAGCCCGTTCATTTTGTAAGCAGTTGTTCAAATGCTACTTTAACTGAGGCCTTTGTGAAACCTAATATAATGCTGTGATTAAGGAATATTAAAACTGAGAAGGTCTAGGTTCTGAGAACCTGTTCTCAGCCATAGAAACTTACTGAGAAACTAAGAGCTAGTTGGTCTCTCTCAGACCAGACTTTTGCACAATTCTTGCTCTAGGATAAAAGCAAAGAGAGATCTAAATCCTATGTAATAGCTTTTAATAAAAAGTAGGTCTCCACATATAACAAACTAATTTCCCCATAATTCTAGGAATGATTATGAATTGTAGTTAAAGACTGGAAAACTGGCTATTGTTATGAATTTTGGCATTCTCTCCTTCATCTTTTATGTTGATGGTGGATTTCCAACTTCAGAGGTTTATTGCATATGACTGGATGTGATTTTGGGATTTTGTTTTTGTTTTGTTTCTTTCCTCTCAGGCTCAGATAACAGTGAATGGGAATTCTAGCTTGGCAACCAGCCCAATGAGTTACTTTCAAAGGCCTTTCTCCCCTTCCTTGGCATACTCTCCACCAGTCTCATTCACTTCAAGCTCCTCTCTCCTGCAACAGAGCAGGACAATGGGTGAGTTTGGAATGCAAATAAAAATGACAGCTTTCTTTAAATCCATAAGCATTATTCACTTGATTAATAAGAATGTAAATTGAAATTATACCAGAATTCCACCACACAGAGTGCTTCATAATTCAGTTTTCTCAAAATAGGTTCCAGCTCTTGTTGCTATTTTGTCATTGCACATACTGATAATGGTAGCAGAAAAAACCCACACACTGCCACTTTTTTCTTAGCTTCCAAATGACTTAATAATATTAGCCTTCTGAACAGAAAATTTGACAGCAGGTTTTTCTGGCAGCCATAATATTGTTCGACAAAAATTCCTGGAAAGAAAGACTATCTAGATCATTTGGAATGAAAAATATGTAAATTTGGTCAGTGAGAGTGAAAGTGCACTTTTGTGAAACTTTTAAATATATCATACTGTACCATGCCACCACAGTGTAAATTGAAGATTCTAGGTCCATGTATCCTTTATGAATTTATGACAATTGTTGTCCAATCGTTGTTTTTTAATTGTTGAAATTAATTATTTCCATTGGATTAAATATTTCTTTATAAAGCTGAACTTAAATCAAGTGCAGCATATTGTAGATTGTTTAAGTAAAGCTGCTGAGTCCATGCCACAAAATACTGTAATATGAACTATGTACATTTGCATTTCTAGAAATTTCATTCTATTGAATACTGGCCTACAGAATTTTCTTTTACTATTCCCTTCCATCTATTGCTGTTCTCTATCCCCAGTCTTTATCATAATGATTGTGTTTTCTTCTTTTTAAAATCCATTTGGGGGGGGGGGGGGGGGGGGGGGGGGATATGCAATCTATTAGGTGTTATCCGGAACAGCTTTCAACAAAAAATCAGGTTTGTTCATAAACATTTACATTCCTTTCATTCCTGGGAACATTTAAAAACAGTCCAGTTTACTGATACTTTGGGTCATTAATTTACCACTGATAAATTAAAATGTTCTTTCCCCTTCCCTATGTCAGCAGAAAATCAAACAAGCATAAAATGTAGCAATTCCAATCTTGCTTACTGCCATTGTTCTCAGTCATTGTCATTCATCTCTCTTATTTCCAAAGCCTTTGGTGACAAAATTTATCTGATTTATATACCTTGATTCTGTCCTTCAATTTGAGTCAGAGAAGGGAGAAAATATTTTGATATTTTGAAAAAAGTGAGGAAGGCATGCTTGTGTTGTGAGTGCACAAATGAGAACATGGCCAAAGAGATTTTTTTTTTCTACCTCTTTCTGCTTCACCTGCTAGAATCCATGTTGTCTTCCATTCAACTGTCAGTTCTTATCCTCTAAATCCATATTCTACTGTACCTCACTGAACCTTCATGGTTAGATTTGAGGTCCTCGTGCCTTTTGATTTTTTTTTTGTATTTTCAATCTGCTCCTCCCTTTTATGCATTATAATTTAGAGCTTTAAATATGACAAAAAACATTTGAATATATATATTTAGAGATGTATGTCAAAATATAGTACAGATGTAATGAAAGGTTTCTAAATAACTTCCTGTAACGAACAGGATTTCTGAGTTGTTATTGTTTTGCTACAGTTATGATAAAGCAAAGGATTAAATTCTTTCTTCAGCTTCTGAAAATGCCTTTTCTATATCCCTACAGATTATATTTACATTTTTAAAAGTCTATAGATTAATTGAATTTATACATTTGATGTTATGTGTGGTTAATGCCTTAAGCTCTTATGGTGAATGCAGACAGTTTTTGCTATTTTTGGGCTGTAGAAACACATTCCTTTTTTTCTCTAAATTTAGTATTATGCATATTTGGAAAAAAGCCCAGATATCTAGATATTTTATCCATGCTAAATCTAAAATGCTTTACCATATATGCTCCTAGCTATCTTATTTATAGATTGCAAATTTTAATAAACAAAAGATCTGATGCCATGTATTAATAGCCTTACTATTGATTTAATAGTTCAACTATAAACATTAATTAAATATTACATACTTCAAATCAGATAAATAGATTGGGTTTTCTTTAGAACTACAAGTGATGTTGCCGTAGATCAACAAGATACTCAGATTTCAAAAATTGAATAAGAATAGTACAATTAAATCTGAACATTAACAGTATACTGCCATGGCTGTTTCTGTGCTGATAGGTCTTTAGTTTTAGTCATCTGTAAAATGAGAATGTTGACATTTTGCCTTTGATCAAATCTATTCTGCAATTTTGAAAATTGTCTGTGGGAATATGTAACTCAGATTTAATTTTGTATTTTTAAAAAATTAGTGAGATATAAAGAGAGGGAGGGATTTATTATTTTTTACTTGCCAAGAGTCCCCCTGTGAGGGAAATGTGTTTAATTTCAATAATGTGATAACTAACTAAATAAATACATTTAAACTATTTGCAAGAACCCTTAGTAGCAACTGCTCTGCCTGTTGAGATTTCTGTTCAAAGTAAACTTTCATTATTTTGACTTTATAATTACAAAATGTCTTCCCCTTCCTACTATTCAAATTTCCATTGGTCCAGAATTATTGCTACGTCTAACCATTATGATTTGTAAACAGTGATTTATGGATTAGAACTGAGCCAATTGTGTTTTATGATGAAATAAACTAGTGGTGTTGTGAACTTAAGGTTACCAGTTTCAGGCTGCAAAAATCTGGATGGCCACAAGATAGTCTCACAAGATTATCTCTTTGTTGCTACCTGGTGGTCATCCTGATATTTGCAGCTCAAATCATCTGCTCTGATTTGTAGAAGCCTTCCAGCCTCTGAAGCAAAAGACCTGGACAGCTAAGGTCTGCTATGTTCTTGTGCTGCTTTCCATGCAGTAGCACAGAGAAGATCATCTATCTGTATCTGTTTGCCGTGTGAAAATGCATTTTCAAATATGCAGGGAAAGCAGGCCAGTTCTACAGTTGTACAGCCTTATGTTATCTTTGTAGAATCCACAGAGATGTACTCACAGCATGCACATTCTGTTGGTGGCGGTGACAGCAGCAGCAGCACGACCACCACCACCACCATACCAATCTGTAGGACTTCAGAGGAAGAAAAGAAAGTCACAGTCATTAAAGCACCACATTATGCAGGAATTGGGCCAGTTGATGAATCAGGAATTCCAACGGCAATTAGAACGGTAGGAAATGTGTGTGTGTGTGTGCGTGCGTGTGCACTTCATACAATGAATGTCTTGTTGATGATGGCTTTTTCACATTCTTCTTGGCTTTATATAACATGAAGTGAAATATGCACAATCAGAGTCACTGGGGGGGTGGGAAAGAGACAGGTATACCAGAAAAGCCCTGTTTTAATTTATTTGCATCTCCACTACACCATTGTTAGAAAAAAAATTTGTTTGCTCCATTTTTCCAACCTCTTTTAAAACTTGTTCAACTTGTTCAAAGTTTGGCATTTACTGCCACTTTTATCAAGATGCTCTTACATATCCTGTCACCCCTTGCGTTTATGAGTGAAGAGAAATCAAATGAATGAAAGAATGTAAACAACCTCCTGCTAAACAGTCTCTGACTTAGCTGCAGCGCTGGGAAGCACGGAACGGAACTGGACTCTCTCCTTTGCTGACATGGAATGAAGCAGAGAGGAAAATACATTTTCAGGTCAATGTTGAACACTTGCCACTAGTCAGTGCTTGAGTGCTTCTAGGATGCCACAGTGAAGTGTTTTGTTTTTAGTTAGGCTGAAGCATTTTTTCCACACTGCTGCTCCAGCAACCCTTTTCGTCTGGGACAGGCAGCAGCAGTAGCTGCTGCAACTGGTAGAAGGAACAGTTTGCCAATCTTCTCAACGAAAGGGATAAAAGAACAAGGAGGAGCAGGAATGAAAGCAGCAAAGCCTTTCAGATTTCAGGTGACTCTTTGAACGACAGCCGCGCTACGAAAGCAGTGGGAGTAGCTTGTCTACCAATGGTTCCAGTAGAGATTAAGTTGGGGGCGGGCAAAAGGGAGGAGGGAATGGATGGAGAAGTTTTGATCAGGTAAGATATGTTTTAAAAACAGAAAATGGTGGGAATTAAATCCTTGCTTCTCTTAAGTATGATTTCTTTAAGGATATATAAGAGATCATTGTGATTTTTTGAAGCTACAGTTTGATTATATAGAATGGTTATTTGTATTGACATATGAATTAAATTATTCCAATTGGTATCTAATGGACTTGACACATAGCTAGCTATATATTAAAATCTTTCAAATCAAATTGTCTTGGTTATCTAACGTTTGTAATAATATCTCATTTTGGTTGGCATTTTGAAAAACATTGTGCCCGTTGTTTAGATGTTTTATGATGTTCTCTTCAATTCTATGTAAATTTGTTCAGAAGTCACTCTTCTAGATTTTGTGAGGTTATTCTTGGAGAAATGTGCTTGGAAGTAGATTTTTTATATCTCAGTATAACTGCAGATGAGAACTCCTAAAGCATTATACCTCATGCACAATTTTGATCTGTTTACATTTTTTAAAAAATGAATACACATAAATTCACCTTAAAATGGATAAAGTGAATATGCAATACCAGAGTGTTTCAGTTGCAGTAGATAATTTATATTTATTTGCAACTATGTCACTTAACTTAAACAAAGTTTAATGTATTTATCATTTTAAAATGTATCTTAGATAAATATAGTGCAAGTTCAGCTTGGTAGAAAAAGGTGGATTGATAAAATGTATGAATAAATAGCTAAACTAATGGATAACTGCTGCAATCTAAACGAATCTGGAAGTTGTTCCAATGCGCTCAAAAATAGAAAAAAATCATTTTAAAATAAAATGTGTTTTCTGTTCTATGTGTCCCTTTCATTAAATATGTATGCAGTATTCTGTTCAAGTTCAGTTATGATAAACAACCTCCTCTGCTGGGAAATTAATATACTTTTTATCATTCTTATAGTGTACTTCGATGACAAAGAGTTCTTTGCTATTTTAAAAGTAACTTTGACAGCGGCCCTTAATTGATGTGGACGTTGTTTTTGCTAATTGCCACAATGACTATACCTTCCAGCTAACCAGGATTTACCTATAGCCTTTCTTCATTCATTCCAAGAATCTCAGATTCCAGGTTTGGTATAAAAGAAAATTATATCTGAAGATGCTTAGGGTATTGGTATCTGGCACTGAAATAGCTTCATGATTTCTCCAACTTCATGTGACTTATTATTACTAGAAGTACCAGTGATAAGAAAACTTACAAGCCCTAAGTACTAAACAGTTAATTAAGAATTACAGTTATTACATTTGAAATAATGGCATTTGTTTCAATTTCTTATTCATCTACTGATTTTCACAGTTACAGGAGTACCCATGTGTTTTTTGAACTAGAATTAGTGGATAAAAACAAAGCTCGGAGGGTCTCAACAATCTTGGCCTAGACTTTCTAATAATTTGAATGCCTAAAGTAATTTATCTGTTCATTTCATGTGGACAAACATAGTATGGTGCACTTCATAATCATGCATATTTATTGTTTGGTATCTTTGCCCAAAGGCAGAACACTAAATGAAAAGAAACCACATTTTAAGCATGTTGATTACTGCAATAAATTATGAAATTAAAAGTTTTGGCTTCATCAAGTAAAAGTTAGCTGCAAGAAAGGGAAGTTTTAGTACTGTAGCAGAGTTGACTACTGTATATTGTGCCCTTTGCTGAACAAAAGTATCTTTCAGCCAAGACATTTTTGTAAGATGTAATGTCTACCCATTTAGGACTTCTGATCACTTTCCAAGATTTTAAGCAGCCCAGCACCCTATTAGCCTCTGGAGGATGGAAATAAAATATTATAGGTTGAGTAATTTTAGCAGTTATGTTAAATCCTACTTTAAAAATCCAATATAAGAATTGTCTTGTTGACTTGTGAGTAATTGCCCAGTGAAAGTACTACAAAGTATGAGAATATCTATTATATCTTGGAAGCCGTTTTGGAAAATACAGATTCCAACATGCTAGCTATAGAAAATATTGGCCCTTTGAAATTTTCATATATATGGACTTTATATAATTTTATTTCTGTATTTTTGGGATCCAAAACAGTGTAAATATTAAAATATAACCTGAGTACAATATAAGCTACTCTATGTGTATAAAGATATTTTTATTGGAATATAATTTCTAGATTTCTTATTACATAGTAAAAGTGTAGAATTAGATAGTAGAATGTATGAATAAATCATTTCCGATGTAGAAGCTTTTGTAAATAAAAATATTAGAGTGCATTTTCAAAGCACAGTGTCAAATAGTGAGATATATAGAATAGCTAATAGCGAGGTATATAGAACAGATACATGCATGATTTCCATTTAATAAAATTATGTCCTGTATATGTTTCATTATGTTTGATGATTAATCTGTTCCTAGGAAGAGTATAGAGGCATAGGTGTGGCATATGTACATCATATTACAAGATAACGTTGTATCATTTCTGGTGATGCTAGTTATACATGGTTTTGCATTTGTTTACTTGTTTTTATTAATCAAATGATCTATCCAATGAAACTCTGAATTAAACCATCCAATATTTTGGAAGTTACAATTTTTAACCACCATTAACCATCTATTAGCATGTGTTTAAGAGAAGATATGGGTGTGTTTCCAAACACAATATTTTACAAGGTGTGTTTTCTTAAAACTACACTTGCTAGCAGTAGCCTTTTGTTGTTTTGCTCTTGTTTGTTGTAATTTTGCCTTGCCCTGATGAACTTTGAAAGAAAAGCTGATAAACTTTCAAGAAGATTATGGGCATTAAATAATAAGGATATGGATATAGTTTGGTTTCAATACATGCTTTCCGAGAAATGTTTATGTGTGTTTATTAAATTCTAGGCAGGTGTTATTATTGTATTTCTCTTGCACAGAGAAAGCAAAATTATGCAGGCATACAGTCTGCTTGGTAATCAAAGCCTGATAAGTACTTGTTAAGCACCAGCTCCTGTCTTGCAGCAGAACAGGAGAAAACAAGGTGATTATTATTTATTGTTTAGCGTATGGTAATGTACAGATAGCCAGGAGACTACAGCTTCGAAGACAGTAGATGTTTGGCAGCCAAGTTTGAGAGGTATTAGCTGGTGATGTCACTCTTACCTGGGGGACACCCAATGGGGACTCTTCTTTCTCCATGTGGGTTCCCATCAAACGGGTACCTATTTATCTACGCTCATTTTTTACATGCTTTCAAAGTGCTAGGTGGGCAGGAGCTAGAGTGAATGGGGGGAACTCACTTCTCCATGCAGTATGTTGTTCTCAAATCTTGCTTGCTGATCATAAAAGCTCCATTCTAACTACAGAGCCACCACGTCCCTTGCAGATGAGAAGATGTCTTTCTGGGAGTATGTCTTTCTCTAGCGTTATGATAGGCCTTTCCACTTCCAAAATCCTGCCTGGGAATTTCCCCGCTGAGAAAGCACATTAGAAAGGAGCTGGATAAGAAATGATGGGCCAATCCTTTGTATTACTTTTGTATCCATAATTTTAAAGAACTGGCTGTGTGAAAAATAATTGTGATGACCCAGGGCTGGGCATGAAAGCAATACAGCCAGAGTGAAGCTTAACTCCCTCTTATTGATCCAATTTTCCCCCCAAAATTCCCACAGTTCACTGTAAATCCAAGAGCAATGCTCCAAGCACACACACGCACCTCCACTAGTTCCTGGCTACTCTGAGTCCAGAGGAGCAGCCAGTTCTCAGAGCAGACAAAGTTCTGGAAACTTGGTTCCAGAGAGTCTTCATTGCACAAAGGGGGCTGTAGCACAACCCAAAGCAGAGCTGTGTCGCTGATTACTTGCCCACAGCCAGGCTAGGCAAACCAAGGCAAGTCGAAGCCAGGCAAAACAAGGTTTGGCAAAGTTGGTAACTGCAAGTGTGGCTGGAAAAAGGCAATGTTTGTTCCCAACACATCTCTTTAAATCTTATTCCCCAGGTGAGCTTTGTGATGAAGGGTGGGGCATTCTCCTCCCAAGTCGTCTGTTTGCCCTGCGCTTGTCCTGCCTCCTCTCCATTCTCCATGCTTGAGGGTCGGGTGGGGGAGACAATTGTTCTTCTCTGGAGCACTGGCGCTCCTCTGCTCCATTGCTTACTCTTTCCTTCTCCTCCTCTCTTGGTCATCTTGTGCCCTCTCTCCAACCCTGGCAACACTTCCAAGCATCAAGGGACCTGCCTCATCCTGCTCCTCTGGTTGTTCTTCCAGGGCCAGCAAGGCCACACCATCCTCCTCCGTCAGCACCGGCTTCATCTCCTCCTTCTTCTCGGACCCAGGCTGCAACAGGGCCATGACACTAATGTCCATTTAGAAAATATGAAAAATCCATGTGTATTATTGCCAGTTATGTACTCTGTTTAGGAGAAAATTAGGTGTTACTTAAACTCTAGTGTTGAGACCATCTGCAGCAATAATATGCTTTCCTTACTATAAGTTTTAAAAAGCAGTATTGCTGGCACTGTCTCTGAATTTATGTTCTCTGCCACTTCTCTGTTTCTTTTCATATTGGACTAAAAACAGTTTTTATCTATATTGCATTTAATAGAATAAAATCAGGTTTTATATATACAGGTAGACTTGCAACAGTTATAGTTACAACAGTTCATTTACAACATCACTGAAAAAAGTGACTTGTGACCATTTTTCACATTGATGACCGTTGCAGCATCGCCAAGGTCATGTGATTTACATTCGGATGCTTGACAACTGGTTCATATTTATGATGGCTGCAGTGTCCCCAGGTCACGTGATCCACTTTTGCGACCTTCTGACAAGCAAAATCGATGGGGAAGGCAGAGTCATTTTACAACCTTGTTACTAATTTACCAACTGCAGTGATTCACTTAACAAACATGGCAAGAAAAATCGTAAAATGGGGCAAAACTCACTTAACAAATGTTTCACTTAGCAGCATAAAGTCTGGGATCAATTGTCATATGTCAAGTACTACCTGTACATGTTTTAATTGTACAATTCAGTCCATTGGCTTCATTGTCAGACTTCTTCTGGATGACCAATCATTTATTTGTGAACAAGTAAACTTGGTCTATCTAGATTTTTTTAAATGTAAGTAATGTTGAAATATTATAGCTAACTTTTCTGGTTTTGTTTTGTTTTTTTAAACATGGGCTTTTGACCAATGAAAATTAGGCTCCTACTTTGACAAAAGATTACTTTATTATAGACTGTTACCAGGCAAAGAAGAAAAACTCTAGTGAGAATAAAATGCTTCTGTTAATGGTACCATTTCAGTTTAATCATCAGCATTCAATGTCACATATATATATTGCGTTATACTCTCAAATAGTACCTGTTCTTTTTCTTTGTATTACCACTCTCTGATAGTATAACAGTAGCATCTAGTCTTTTATCACAAAAAATATGCCTAATGGTTGAATGTAGTAGAATGCAACTCAATTGCATGCATCAGTGAATAAGATTAACTGCTAATGATAGTAATGGTCTTCAGATTAATGGAATCTGAAGATGGATATTGACATCTTATTTATTTTATCTGACCAGAATCCTTTCCTACCATATTTTTATTTTGTGTATAATCAGTATATTGCATCATTTTAACTCAAAACTAAGCAAAACATGCCAACTATTTAGGGGGACTTGTTAAGAGGCTAAATTAACCACTTTGCTAATGCTTTATTAATCACCCATTCATCTTATGTCTGGACTACTATAATATGCTCTATATGGGACTGCCCTTGAAGAATATTTGGAAGCTTCAATTAATTCAGAATGAAGCCCGAGTACTTTTACACAATTCTAAACTTGCATATGTGTCACCTATTCTGTGGGAGCTGCACTGGCTGCCAATCTGCTTCTGGCTACAATTCAGGGTGCTATTTGAAGGACCACCTCTCCTCTAAGACATCTACATGGCCCCCCAGGAGAGGAAGGCAGGGCATGTTATACATTCCATCAGTGAGTCTGAGAACCACAAATGGAGATGAAGCCAATAAAGTGGCTGATTTAACTGTGGTTGCTGACATGGTGGTCGAGATATTTTATGGCGAGATATATTATTATATGGTGGATTTTAAAATTTTTGTTAGCTGCCATGAATCACTTACAGTATGTGTGAGTTGGGTAGCTATATAAATTTGTTAAATAAATTGTTTCCTACTTTGTTGGCAGTCTGGCTTTTGTACTGATTATCTGCTAATTGTTTAAAATTTAATTTGTTTTTAGACTGTTGACAGGCCAAAGGATTGGTATAAGACAATGTTTAAGCAAATCCATATGGTTCATAAGCCAGGTATGTATAATTTCTACTTTTTGCTTCCTTTTTTGTAGCCTTTTAACAGATTAGAATTTTTTATAAATGCGTCTTTTATTGTTTATTTATTGATGTGATTCATCCCACCTCAATCCAGATGAATTAGGCTGATTATTATAGGTAATGAAAACATAAAAAAGAAACACTAATACCCAATAATTAATTGTAGTAATAACTACAACCATAAATAACATTTTCCATTTTTATTTGTGTTTGATCCTTTATTTTTATTAGTACTATTTTAATTTCCATTTCTATAGCTGCCTGCTCTTGCATAATTCTGGATGTGTTAGGACATTGAAAAGAGTGTAGAACTAATTGTTCTATAGACTGGATTAATATAGGCACCAATGAACAATAAACAATTCTCAAAGGCCTCTGGAAGAGACAGTTTCTGGAAAACCACTAGAGTTAGGACTATTCTTAGCTTAGGAACAGGCTGTTCCAGAACAGGCAGTTCTCATACCTTTAACTAAGTCCTCTCCAACTGCACAACATAAATGGGAACTCTTAGTAACACTCCTTTGCTGCATGGATTGGACAACGGGAACTATTCTAGAGTCTCTTAGAGACCCAGGCACTATGATATGTTATGTCTGTGTACTACATCTTCAATCCAGTAAGTTTCTTAAACACAGTTCACTATTTTTTCCAGTTAAATAAAAAACCCTACTTAGTGGTCTTTTCAGGAAGAGAGTGAGGGGCTTAATATGAGTGTCCTGAAAAGACCCAATAAAGCAAATTTTCATTCGCATTCCTTGGAATTAGCAAGGCTTGATTCCCATTGTTATTATTTACCAAGGCAACAATCACTTTAGCTTTTTCACTAATGGAAAGAAATTAAAGCTTCTTTCTACATATTCTTTAGAGTTCATTTGTGGCATCTTAATTTGAATTCTGAGTGAGTACAAGTCTAGTGCTATATCACAAGAATAAACTGGAGAATAAACACCACAAATAGTAAACATTTATTAAGGGAGAGAGTTTAAAACGGCCTTGCTGTGCATAAATGGACAGATATTTCACTGCTATAACATTTGTTTTCTTTTTGTAGATGATGACACTGACATGTATAATACTTCATATGCATATAATACTGGTAGGAATTATTCCTTCCTTTCACATGAGTTTTTCTTTTTAGTGCCAGCAACTTCTAACAATATCTAACCCCACTGGACCATACTTTATTCTGCTTCCATAACCGGTTTTATCTATTGAATCTCTAAATATAGTTTTTGTTTCATTAATTTCCATATATCAACAATTAATGGTTCTTTTCATAAATAATCCAATATGTATTATTAATTTTTATTTGTATTGGTTGGACAACTTTTATGTTAGAGTGGAGAACACTTCAATGCAGGATAACATTGTAAGGTAACTCATTAGCGCAGAGTCTGAAATCATAGTATCTGCAACAACTTTTTCATAATATCTTGCATTGAATGTAGCAGCATTGAAGGGTACTGCTTGGTTTCTATGCACAACATAAAGGATGTTCGCAACCCAGAAAGGCATATTATTCTTCCCCACTTTGAAGAAAGAGCATGAGCACTGAAAGGTCTAATTTTCATCAGATTCCAAAAGAAAATCTATATCCTAAGGGAAAAAATGGACCTACCATAAATAGATCCATCCATTTCACTAGCATGAACAATGTGGTAAAAATACATTGGAAAAATTGTGAAAATATTTTAAGTTTCCTATGAATAACAGGAAGCCTACTGGAAATGTGAATGATATTCCTAGATTCAGAATGATGCAACATTTTACCACAGGACATAGCCTATATTTTAAATGTCATTTCAGCTTTAACTTTATGCTGCATGTTGTAAATTTTCATCTAATGTGATATTCCTGGGTAATAATTTTAATTAATAATGATTACTAACAAGGAAGGCTTTATCTTTTAACAATATTAATAAGGCATGGTTTTACAAGCAAATATATAAATGTGCATCCGTTTATGTCCTTTTGAATTTTGAATATTGGTCTGGAGCCAAGCTAACCTTATAGGCCATCATTAATTATTTCATCTGATCTCATAATTCAAACAAGTTTCATTTTTCATCAGTGCATTTGTTTTTTTCTGTTCTTTGTTCTTAACAAACTATCTCTAAACTATCAGAGAGAAAGGGGGAAAGATTAGACACAATAGCATATATTCTTGCTCGCCTATAGTTCCACTTGCTTTACAAGTTTAATCCTGATTCAATAAGAGAGATCTCTGTGTGGAAAAATACTGCACAAATGTCTTTCCAGTCAAATCATAGAGATTCAGTATGATACAGAAGGGCAATTTTATCCCCAGCAACAGGGTATGCATGTATTAATACTCTTGATCTTCATAGTTGTGATGCTCAAGAGAGGTCACTATGAGTTATAAACCACCTATTTCAGAGATGATGAAAAATATAGACAACCTTATTCTTCCATTAAATGAACAATCAACATTATCTGGGAGAGTCACATTTTATACCAAAATGGCAGAGAGATCTGAATTAAGACCACTAGATTCCATCCAAAACTAGTATTGGTTACTAGGGACGGTGGGAAGGCTCCTTTTACTCAATTCATATTTGAATGGACAATGTGTGCATGTGTGTGTGTGTGTTTATTAGGTTGAATCAATTCACTTCAGGATGAAGCCCTCTTCATTAAAAGTTATGGGCCACAAGTGGTCCTGTAAGAGTTGCTAGGCAGATGTCATTCATGTAGTCAGTCTAAAGCTGAGAAAGAGAGTGACTGACCCAAATTCTCCCACTCAACTTCCATGCATAAGACAGAACTACATTTCCCCATTCCTTAACTCTACACCACACTGCTGTGTGTTTGTCTATGTCTGCATTTGTCTTTCTCTATCTGTCTAGAACTAATATTTAGATCCTTTATGATTTTGCTTTGTCTTTGACTAGGAAACTTCAGTCCATCACTTTCTGCTCAAGCACATCCTGTTGCAAAGACTCAGACATACAGGCCACTGACAAAAAGTACTTCTGACAATGGCACTGAAGCCTTTAAAGTTTCTTCACCTCCACCACCTCCAGTACCACCTGTTCGTCCTTGGCAAAGATCTGCCCCAGAAAAGTAAGCTATGTATTACTTTGCAGCAATTAATCCAGAAGTGGAAAATTTAATACTAGCATGAGAGCCAATATGTCAATGTTATGTTTTGTATTCAGGGATACAACATGACTTTTCATGGAAGCACTTGATTGGTTGGTTGGTTCGTTGGTTGTTGGTTGGTTGGTTGTCTGTCTGATTGACTGACTGACTGACTTTTTTATATATTGCCAATTTCCAGTGCAATCATCGTGCATATACATCATAAGATAACTCATTAGAGCAGAGTCTGAAATCATGGTATGTGCAACAACTTTTCTTCTGCTACTTCATTTCCCAGAGCAACTCAAGATTTGCAATGAGAGGCTACTTGCAAATAATTGGACTGGCATCCTTGTCATCTTTATATTCCAGAGTTAAATTAAAGATTAAATTAAAGTTGTCTAAGAAGGCTATAGAAATCCCCATCTCCTGCTGGAATCCATTTGGATCCAGAAGACATCAGAGCACACAAATGTAATGGGCCTTTCCACCTGCATGATCAGGATCTGACTGTCAGCAAAAAAAAAAAGAAATATGTCTTCCATTCATGATGCAATTCAATCATGATAGATCATGAAAGATCAATCAATTTCATGATCAATCATGAAGGAAGGGTAGTTGTAATGGGTGACCTATATTCATTGAGCCACAGATCAGTCAGAACATCCCCATGATTGCCATGGAGGTCAGGAAGGCCAGGAACTCCTGAACTCTACTCAGAGCCAAACATAATATAAAGAATTTGAAACCCCCTTATTCTATAACTTGGGGTGGGGGTGCTAATCAGGGCTATTTTAGGAGCCCTGATACCTCCCCAACCCATATGTCAAGCAGCATGTGGATGATATGTAGACACCCTCAGCTTGTCCTTATGGTCCAATTTTACAAACAGATAGCCATTGCCTACTACCACATGTGCAGAATCCCTAGCTACCAGCAATCTTTATTCATCACCACTCCATCTCACACTGTTATTATCATAAACAAAGAATGACTCAAACCTAGATAGACAAATCTTACTCATCCAGCTTTCAGCATTTATTTAGTAAAAGCAGTAGCTTTTTGCCTTTTGATTTTTAAAAATAACATTATTACTTATGTTGATATGGAATGTAATTTTCTGTGTGGCAATCTTACTAATTCCATTCAACATCAGGAGAACTCTATCGTGATGGAAAATTTTGTTCCAGTTTTATTTAAAAAGAGCTGTTAATTTGTTCTTTTAAAACTCTGTGATGCATGCATTGGATGTTAGATCAGTTGTCAATTTATTTTTATTTTTAGAAATGAGTGGGAGCCTCCTGATAGAAAAGTAGATACCCGCAAATTCCGTTCAGAACCAAGAAGCATTTTTGAATATGAACCAGGAAAGTCTTCAATCCTTGAACATGAAAGACCGGTAAGTAAAGTTTATCCATTTTTATGTATAATAAATAATTCTGTAAAACATTTATTCTTTAAATCTTCCATGCTTTTGTTAAGTATAATAAGAAGATGCTTTTAAGAATTACAAGACAAGCATTTTGTTCAAGAGACTTCTTCCAGGAGATTGATAACTATGACGCTGCAGTGTATCTGCTTTGACTCATGGTTGACTACGGCTTGCCTTGATCTCTTGCACTTCTGTGCATCTGATAGATCAGGTGGATTCATTTGCCTTTAAGGTATTTTCTCATATCCAGGGCAAGAAAATGCCCTAAAGACTTATCCACGCAACTTGCTGTTGAGCACGTTTTTTTTGCTTCTTCTCCCAAGTTGTCCATCAGTTTTCACAGATGTCTTCTAGCATCCATAACAGAGCCATTAAAGAAGGTGCCAAGAAGATGGTGGGCACCTGGTCTTGACTCAGGGATCACCAGTAATAAGTAATAAATTACTCCCATTCCAATAATAAATTCCCAATACTGGTTTCATTTCTTAGAGATAACGCTTAACTGAAAGTTTAATATAGAACAAAGAGGCAAAATTATTTTCCTTGGGTTGATACAGTATTTTTATTTTGGGTTGGGGATTTGGTGAAAATAAATACACACATTCATTTTGTTGCATAGACAATAATATTTTCAAGCTTCTAATGGAAATGAGTAGATTTTTTTCACTATCCTTGTAATTTCATCAGCACATATAGCAGTAACATGAGAGTTGTTACACATGTAAATAATTTTTTTGTTCCAAAATCCACAAATGTGATTTTGTTATTACTGATATTTTACATTTTATAGCACAGTGCAAACTAACAGATAATTAAAATTCTGCATTAGGATTTTTGAAAACTAGTTATTAAATTAATGAAAAGCATGTTTAATGAGGCTGCAATCTTACATCTTAATACTTATTGCTAACCATTCCAGTAACCCAAAGAGTATCTTTCACTATGTCTGCTCGCAAGTATTTAATTCATGGAATTAACTACTCTATATTTATAGAAATATACATACAGGCTGTTTGTATTGTGATTGTCACATCTTGATCTAAACAAACTGATTCTAACTCAGTCAGTATGGTTTATGATGTTTAATATGGAAGCAACAATTTTCCTAAATATTTTAATTGTAAGGTTAAATATATATATAGCAGTTTGGAACTGGTTACTTATAAACATGATAAATATAATTCAGAAACCTCTTTATTTTGGTTGGCTTATATATGTTGAAATGGATTATTAGTATTATTATTATTTTATGATGTTACATTGTGATAGTAATGTTTGAAGTTGTATTTTATCATATTACATATGCCATAAATTAGAATAGCCTTCCCTAATTTCATATTCTTCAGATGCTAGCTGAGAGTTATTAACACAAATGGAGAGTGTTAGATCAGGAAAGACTATAGTTTATATATTGGTAACCTTCCTTAAGATATACTGTAGCTATAATGTAGGTTATGCAAAAGTGGAGAACTTTTCATTCAGTGGAGAAGGTATATGTAGCTCTGAGTTGGAATTTTGGATTTTTGGTTTTTCTCCAAGTTTGGTTGTTTCCTCACAGACATTTTCCCCCCACGCTAGATTATCAGTGAAAGGTAGAGTGGTGTACTGGAAAACAGCACCAGTGAAACAATCAGGGAAAGAAAATAATATCCTAATCAAAGAACCATCAAGGAATATCTCCACTAAGATCAATGGTACAAGTCATTACATATAAATAGCTGCTGCCTAGCCTGATAATGAAGTATCTGCAAGAAAACAACCAAGTTCAGAGAACACCAAGAACTCTATATTGATACTATCCAATGATCCTCCCTCTCCTCCTCATTGGCTAATTATAACAGACCAGAATATATAACAAATAGAATATGTCCAAAGCAATGAATCAGGACTTAATCATAGGGAAATGTGTGAGTATTGAGGAAAATACTTCTCCCAATTTTTAGAATTGTTCACTTGGGAGAATATGCAATGGAATCCAGAAAAATTTGAGTTACATACTAGGAACTCTCTCTTCTGTCCTTCCATTGAAGGAAAGTACATTGGTACTACCCACAGATGCAGGCCAGGCCAGTGTTCCTACCCGCCCAGACACTAGTATAGTGAACAATGATTGAGGAATTCTATCCCATCCTTCCATCTCCATATTGTCTAACAGCAGGAAAATGATCTACCTATTAGTGTCCTGAGTGTGTGGCCCCTAGAGCTGGAAGAGTCAAGTATTCTCTTTCCCTTTATCTGCAGTCACCTGCAATATTTTCAGGGATAGTGGGAAATAAGCAGCTATGCACAGATGCAAATCATTCAGGCACACTTATTCAAGATTGAGACTCTGAATCCAGTACTTCTTTAAGTTTAGCAAATCACAAGTTTTGTGCAAGAATGGAAATATTCCCTCATGCCATCACTCTCCAGAACACCTAATTACCACAGTACTGTCTTATGTGTGATTTTTTCCCCCCGTGTAGTATGACTGTGTTACTATTATCCTTCTCTCTTTTGTATTACCTTCTCCTATTGGTATCTTATGGTTATATTATATTGTGTTTGTATGTATACTGACAGCGTATGCACCGAAGACAAATACACCAGAAAGAAAGAAATAGCTATACAAAGAGAGGCTTCCAGCCTTTTTCAGTCACCACACAATGGACATAACTTAAATCTTACAGCAGACCTGCTAAATCACTGAAACTCAGCAATCTGCCAACTTCTAAAGTCTCTTGTGTATTCTGGATTCCATGATGGAGATATGCTGGCATAGGTTGCCATAAAACCTTGGCTCAACACCAGCTTGCTCAATAATAGGCTACCTATAAAAATGGAGTCACTTGGCAAATGGTGGGGTGTCTCAGTTTGTGTAAGTGAGTCAGGGGTGGGATTCAACCGGTGTTACTACTGGTTCGGTGACTGTTTTGCAATTGCAATTACATTTTCTACTTTTCAATATTGAATAAGGTATATTCATTCAATAAAATTACTTAAGTTCATCTTAGCATTAACTTTCTCTGGGTTAATTCTCATGAGCACTTGAGAAACCAAACTTCATTTCCAAAGCCAACTACAGTAATGTTGGATGAGATGAGATTTTGGCATAGGTAATACAACTTTTCTTGGATTTAAATTCACAAACATTTGCATCAGTTTACATTTCAGTGACCTCTGCTTGTGCATCTATTAGTTTTTTGAATCTGGGCTTTGTTTCAGTGGTAGCATCCAAAAAACCTGAACTAATCAGCCATTTTAATGATGTACAGACTTTCTTGGCCTTAGAAATTTGCGGATTTGTTGCCAAGGATTATATTTACAAAATGTTTTATGGGAGTAGGAAGGAGGGTTATTGTTGGCATTCTTGTGGTAGAATTTATGTAATATGAGATAACCTTTTAAAAATGTTTTCAATTGCAAATAGTTCCCAGATGGTGAATAAACAGAATCAGATAATCAATTGGGGTTTCATTCATTTTAAGAAACATTTTATGGTTATTTAGATACAGTAAATATTGCTTCCAGTAAGAAAAGTGAGATATAACCTTGTGTTCTATTGGAAGTTATTATTATAGAGTACTTAGTATTATCCTGCTAATATCAATCCTGGCAATCTGACTCAAAATTACATGGGGAATTGCACACACACATATTCATTTTTCATGAAAGGCATCAAGAGATTGTGAACTTAATCAGAAGAATAACAAAACATCTAGCCAGATATATAACCATTTTCCCTCTGGCTATGATTCCTGCCAAAATATTCTCCCATCACTTCTCTAAATTAGAGGTAATATATGTATATCCTCTAAGTAATTTAACCTTGATTCAGAGATTTTTTTCAATTTTACTCAAATTAAGTTTGGGAATACAGCTATCAAGTATTATTTAATCCAAGCATTTTTCTGTTGTGAAAAGTATGTATATATGTTTTAATGAATTATGATCTTATACAATATTTATCTGTTTCATGGATTGTTTTATTTTTGACAGTTTTTAAATCTGTCAATAAGAATAGTTTGGAATAGGTTCTATCAATGGTTAGAAACATGAGATAGTAGAAGTTGGAATGCGAAATAATAAGGTTAGGTGGACATGGAAATAAATATTATTTTTAATATCAATGTAGGAATGTAAGTATTAGAATGATAGACCATCAGAATATGATGGTCAGAAACTATTGTACAACACTAGCACTGTTGAAGTTAGTACATATGTTATTCTGTTTTTACTTTTGTTTTATGGTAAGTGGAATGCCAGGACAATTACACTGTATTCAATATATTTATATGTAAACAATAAAAATATATCTTTAAAAAGAATAGTTTATTAGTCTCCATTGTATACTTAATGTTAATTTCATTTGCATAAAAAGCTACTTGGTTGTAGCTTTTTTGGCATGTTAATTGTGACACAGCATGAACTGAAAAATTACCGGGGGAAAATGTACAGCTGGTTTTTTTCTGTAATGATCACTTTCTCACTGTTGTTAGCTTCATTTTACATAGCTCAATCAGTTCTGTTCTTTTATTACTCTGTTAATGTAGCAAAATAAAACTCTTTCATACTCCACAGCCAATATTTGAGATAAAAATGCAACTGGTAGCCTCAATCTCTTAATCAGGCACTTTGCCATTAAAATTACTTTTATTTGAAACAGAACAAGAATTATAGGCATTTACATAAATTACAAATATCTGGAGAAGCTAGTATTATCTCCCTTGACTTCTCATAGATTTGCTTCAGTTATATTCTTCTTGAAATTTTTCATCATTTCAAATTCTCCTAGCATTTCATCACCATCTGCAACTTACTGGCCTGCTAATTTTTTCACACATGCATATACACAACCACACTCATATACACACTATACTTACAGATAGTATTGTCTTAATGAAGGGGGAAAATATTTTGATAACGGATCTGGATAAAGTATCTTCTTAGTCTTTGTCCAATATTTCTGTCTTATTTATGATTGCATA